GCTGCAGAATGAGTGTTATGCGCTGTAGTCTTTAATTGTATATATACCTCTCTGGATGACATTATGCCTGGCCTTGGCCGTACGAGAGCGAGAACTTCTGCGCAAGATCTTTTCTAAAACCTAGTCCGTTTCATGGTATTGCTGTTCCTGCGCTCTGGCACTTCGTAGTCAGAGGCCCTTGTGTGGTAACGAGTGCGTGTCTTTGTGATTTTTTTTTACCTCTCTCTCTCTCTCTCCCTCTCTCTCTCTCTCTCTCTCTCTCTCTCTCTCTCTCTCTCTCTCTCTCTCTCTCTCTCTCTCTCTCTCTCTCTCTCTCTCTCTCTCTCTCTCTCTCTCTGCCGTACTCCTCGCCTCGCGCCCGTACCACTTCCGAGCCAGTCGCCGATTGATTGTACATCTATGCAAAGAATACATAATATATATTCTTTGCATCTATGACTGGTCCGCACCCGTCAGAGACAGTCCCCAACTACAGTCGACATTCTTCCGGCATCCCATGAGTAACCTTTTTCTTTGGCGGGGGGATATTTTAGAAAACAAATGAGGGTAGAAAACGGAAGAACCCGAGCTGAGGATCGTACTGTGAATGATAAAGTGAGGTGGAAAGTAGAAAAAAACGAGATGGCGTTGCGCGAACGAACACATGAATCCCATGGACGCCCAGAATGCCACGGAGATGAAACAAAATCCTTCCAAACACGGGACTTCGCCGCGGACCCCTACCGATCCCCGTGTTTCCCTAGCCGGGGGCTCGATCGCCAAAGTCCCTCCCCGACTGTTTTGTTTAATCCAGTGCATTTACAGATGCAAAGTTTACCTTGGACTGATAAGTTACTGCGTGTTGTGGTTAGGAGGCCGACGAACCTCTGATTTCCGTCGGGTATGTGCAGCTGGAACATGATTACTATGACCCAAATATTTGATTTTATTCCTGGGTTTGCAAAAAAAAAATCGCGAAAACTTCATTAGACCGGAATACTGTGAAAGAATTCGGAAACCAAAGGTAGCAAAGTTAACAAACTTCGCTGTACTGTCAAAGTTGCCGGTAGCTGGCTACACATGCGCAACATATGGATATACAAGTATTTATAAATTTTGATAAAACGTGTTTATGTACAACGCATGGCATATTTAAGGAATGTACATTTAACAAGAACGATTTTCAGTGTAATGTGATGATATTCAAGATACAGAAATACATTAAAAGTACAGTGCATATCTAAGAAAGTGACAATGATCGGTCATGACGTCACAACCGCATACACCAAGACTGTTTTTGCAGAGTTACCGCACAGGTATTTTATTTTCTTTGACGCGAGGTAAGAGAAGCCTGGACCTATGTCGTGGTTCATCTAGCCTTGAACATTGTTCATTGCGAGAACTGTAGAAAAGGTATGAATAAGAATGAATATCTTTATAGCGTAAGAGATGTATTCGGCGTGAATATATGCACACATACATACATACATACATACATACATACATACGTAGGAGCCCGGATGATGGTAGTATAGTAGGTGGCGAGCTTAGGGTGTAAGGTAGACAACCAATATGTCTTGACTCCTTTATTATATAGTAATGATGGAGTACGGCTGCGCGGAGGATTGAGGTGTTGCTCCTTGGCTCCCCGCAGGGAGTCTGCCTGTCATCCCCTACAGTGGTCTAAAGATGGGTATAATTCACGTACTTACCACGTGACAATCGGTGGTGATGAGAGGTAGTGTTATAACAATGCATAGCTCTTATGGAAGGGGATAGACAACACAACATTGCAATATCTGATGTTTCACGAAGAGACGAATAAACAGGTAAACCAATGTACATACTTACATGCATGTCACGACATTGGAATGTCTAATGTGGTAAGAAGAGATGAACATTCAGTTAAAGTAATGGTCATGAGTAAATACATATATGTATGTGACAAACATGTTAGGTCATATAAAATATGTAGAATAAAGTAATATGATATATATATAGCTAGGTTACATATGATGGTCCCCATCGTAATCAAACATCATTAAAATTCATGTAGCTAAAAACAATAAAAATACACAAGAAGAAACAGTGCTACATTGTTATAAAAGACGTGAGCAACATAGAGCAACAAGTACTGTATGGCGCAGTGTGTAATATCAGTATTGAGATTTGCTAGTTGTATGACTGCTAACGGATGCCGAGATGCGATGTTCTCGGGCTTCAGAACTACGTGACCGGGCGGCGCTGAAGGAAACCCGTCTTCAGGCAGCGTCACAGAACGCGAGCGAGCGGCGCTGAGGGGACAGCATCCTCAGGCGGCGGAGATAAAGGATACATGCGTGTGAGAATCTAGTTAGGCAACTCATAAATTGCAAAAACTGAACGTACAAAAATCCTCAATGCACAATTAAATGGGTCGAGATTAAGTATTGAAAATACAAATGAGAAATATTTAAGGAAAAGCTAGGCATTGGTCACCGATCTTTTTCAGTTTTGACAACCCATCACGCGCAGGTCCTTC